AATAAAATAAGTGCGATAATGTTACTGATATTTACTATATGGAGCAGCCATCTTATATACGACATGAAACTAAAGAAAAAGCGTCTTTATTAGCTTCAAGTTTTATTCAAAATGGCAGCATCGTATAATCTTGTATATTATATCAATGCTTGCTTTGGTTAACTCCATCCATTGCTTCAGGTGTTGTGCCGGTAACATGCTCTACTCATAGGTAGATATTTGTCGCAGTAACTGGTACTTTCATCAGCTGAGAGTTGAGAATTAATGTACATTGTGTCATTAACAACTGGTGTTAATATGATAATAGCGTCGTTGGAACTGTTAATTTAACCTTATTATTTGTACAGTTGCTCTGGCAGGAGTTCCTTAACGAAACCCATGCTCTGATATTGCCCCTAGTTTCCTATTTCGACGAGAAATATTTGATCATTTATAGAATAGGCTTTGCATCACGCATTCTTGTCATACTGCTTAGTGACATACGATAAGTAATCATCGTAGTGGTGTTGCAGGATATTTGAATATTAATATTGAATTTAGTAATCGCAGAATAATTTTCCAATATAGATAAACAAATTAGTTCGAAACACTAATGCGACAATTAAAGACGCGCTAAACAAGAATTCCATTTTGGGCTAAGTGCCATTGTCACAAACTGCCCGTCTCGTGTGGGGCTGCCAACTAAAATACATTCATTTATACAAATTGATATAATGTGGGACTTGCTAACACAGCATCGGCTTATGACTGCCATTCATTGTCATTTGAATACCATTCACGATACATAATACATATAATAATTATGTGTTTATAAGATATATCAAATATGACTTTATAACACCACATACTATACACCAAAAACATTAAGGCTGTTGACAAAAAGTTACCTTATAACATCGTACGTGCTTTCGATCCGTGGTACATCGTGGCCATTTCACAATGTAATCTCATCCTTACAATTAATTAAATAAAAATTTAGTATATTAGTCTTATTTTTTACTCGTTGTTAACATAACTCTGTACAATGGTATTGGTGATATATGAATTGGGTGCCATAGGGATCCGTGGTACATCATGGCCATTCCAGGATGTAAACACGTTCTTACAATTAAATAAATAAATACAACATTAGTATATTAGGCCCATTTTATATGATAATTCAATTGTGTGCATGCGACGCAAAACTTAATATATTGCCAAATATTTTGATTTTAATTATTTCAATGGGATAGCAAATTTAGTGTTTTTGGCAAATTTGTAATTCACTATCAGTATCAGTGTGTTTAAATTTCCGCGAATTAACATTATGGCATTTTACGTCTGCCAAATAACGGCCAACTAAATACGTGTAATCATTAATTACTAAGGACCTGGCGTAGAATTGGAAATTACTCCAAATAAACAAATTTTAATTCGGGGACAGGATAATAGTATATTTGGTTATTGATGAAATAGTAGGGCGCCACCAGACGGTCTGGCTTAGCAAGTGCGTCGTGTTTCACTCATGAAGATTGTGTACAAAGGAAGCCGCTCATCTCGCCATTGGCCGGGGCCATTGGATGGCGG